TGTCACAAGACTCAATGAAGTGTCACGGTAGTACAGGACGATTTGAAGAAGTCAGACAAGACATAAGAGTGGAGGTCGACGGCCGCAATCCTTATCATTTCCGCTTTGTAAACGATATTGGGCTCATAGCACCTTATGTCGACCAGTCGAAACGAATGCTGGTCAAATTCGACAATGCTTATGGAAAGATCAGCTTAGGATCGAACTCATGAGAAAGATGTAGAGATGTTTATGAGAAACGGATTGGTACCTGATGCTCTCTTTACGCTAAGCGGAACGAATATCTCTGAATGCCCTAGCTACGTGTGTCTAAGTTAGGAAGTCAGTATGATGAATTACCTACCCCGAAGCTAAAGAAGGATACGCGCGATGTGGGGAGCATTCAAGAACATCGAGGAAGTAGTAGGGAACAAAATTAGACAACGAACACTCAGCACCATGCTCACCTTTTCGACACTGCAGTCCTTCGCGCTTTGACATATGCCTCAGAAATTTAGTGTTATGGAAGTAGGTTGAACATGCATTATGCGTCACTTAGCACATACGTGGAAAGTACGTTGCTCGGGACGTCCTGACACATTCACGTTTTCAGGGAGGATGCAGTCGCTTACGCCGAAAAATCAGAAATCAGATGGCCCAGGTACGCTTTACATATTGTGCTGACCTTTAACCAGGGCGATTACTGAGTGAAACACCAACGAATACCAGAACTGCTGCCAGCGCGATAGTCAGATTCACGGGAGCTTCGAACGAAAGGAATGCTCTGCCTCGTTGCCCTCGAGCGAAAGCGATCCAGTGGACTACCGTGGCTTCCGCTCTACAAGGGCGGTTGGAGATGTTGCTGTCGTTCGCTCGAGACATCGATTATCAATGGGACGACAGGTTATGCAGGTGATACCCTTTCTGTCATGCTGTCAGTCAGCCCCCATCCTTTCATTCATCCACCCCAGCTACGAAAAGTGAACTCATTTACGTCCGCGAACAATTCGCTACACTCCCATCTACAGTGTGAATGACTCATCTCCCCAATGATTAATTCTATCCGCCAGTTGACTGCTTGTGGTGTCATAATGTCTGTAACAAAAAAGATACATTTTTCATTTCGCTTGACACGCGCGGTGTTGAAATCCAAGCAATGATGAAAAAAGTGGATGGTTCATCGGGCTAAGATAATTTGTTGTGCAAGCTATACAAGTTCTTTAACGAAATGTTGACATAGAAATGGCGAGGTGCGGAGTAGTCTCCTCGCACGGCTTTCTACCAACCTCTGCACAGTTCCTGAATGAATGAGTGCTTACTGAACCCTTTGCGACTTTTGACTGACGGAGTCGTCATTTTCAAAATCTTTAAGAGTCAGAATAGTTAGTGACTATCCGATCGGACGTCTCCAAGTTTTTCTGGATTTCGTGACCCTCAAAACATGCAGTCTGAAGAAGAGTCACTCATTGTAGTTTCCATCCGGCCTTCGATACAATCATCAGAGCAGATGAGGTTGGTCTGGTTTAGATGGTATGTAAGGATCCACCGCAATGAAAGTCGCAACGGAGACGATTCTGGTGTAGCCGCGGAGAACGTAATGCAAGATCGCCAGCAAAACTCTCGAGACATTCTGAATAGAGGTCATCGATCCGAAAATGAATCGGTGGAACCTTTTCAATCCACTGTGCTGAGGTCCTCTAGGTAATACTGGCCTTTTCTCAGTAGCCAGTGACAGATGATCAACCCCAGCTGACGTGGTTACCAAATTCCTGAATCTACGATGAATAGCCCTTCTCTGGATTATATGCGCACCCTGGAGGTCCCCAACTTCGGTAATCTGCGAAGATGCACAATCAGTACTCAAAAGGCACCTGATTCTTTCGGGCTGTGAAGAAGGTGATCCCGCCGAAAACTGGCCAAATAACGGTTAAGCATAGGCCTCGTGGAGAATCTAAAGAAACAATTTCTTCATACATTCATTAGTCATGTCGAGACTCAAATAGAGCTGTACGTGGGGGCAACTTTTCAAGAGTAACAGTTGGAGGGCCGTACAGAATACTTGCTGCGCTGATCCATTTCAACCGGAGTTCTTAGCCAAGCTTCCAATGTTTGCGTACATCAGGGTGTTCAAGACTGTTTTCATCAAAAATATATAGCTTGTATTTAAAAAAGGATTGACACGGAGGATCCGCTGAGCGATTCGACTTTACCCTAGCAATGAAGGCTGTTTGAAGTGAGGTGGGTGATCCGATTAGTCCCATTCAAAAGAAATAAATAAATAACAAGGAGCTTCGGAACGGATCAATCCTAACATTTGAGTTGGTCATGATGGCTGGTTGAAATATCTGAATGTGGGATTCGTTGCAACGCTTGAATGTTTTCTTCTATTTTCTTCCGATTGGAAGTGACTATTTACATTCTGGAAGATTTACAATTACTTTTTTTCCAAAAAAGTGAAGAGTCAGTAAAGATTCAGCCCGGGAAGATGCCTAGCCCTACCACTTGGCACTGGGTTTTAAAGGACCGCGTGTAGCTTGGAGGCGCAGTCCACGATGATTTTGAAAGACCCCTTTTTACTCGAAAGCGGAAGTATAGGTTGGAAATAGTTCATCGCTAATGAAGAAANNNNTCCTTACAAGTAGGTAGACTGGAGGTTGGACGAGATTACCATGACATAAATAACATGTAAGGGGTATTCGAGCGAGATTTCAGCCTTTGCATTGTGCAAAGAGCTGGATACATCCAGCCAGAACTATTCGGAAGTGTCTTCCACTGTCGCTATGGGTCATAACAAGTCGTTTGAACTTCCTACATGGGTTCCCGTGTGAGCGGTGCAGCCTCCACAATGCCGGTGAAACTCGTCCGAGGATACCCATGGTACAACCTTTGAGCCTTTATAACGCCCTGACTAGACCGTTTTCCGACCTGATAGCACCAGCTATGGTATAGGAGGGGACCTTGCATTCATCCTATGGACGAATATCAGAAACCATTTTATCGTGAATTATCGTGATCGTGATTTTTACGTGTCCCCAAAAGTTTGCGTTGTCGTTGTGATTTTGCGCTGGCCCCAGCTACTGACAGCTGTGGCACATGCGGATGGAACGTTGCGTAATGTACGTCTGCAGTGTAACAGCGCAAACTCTGAATGCAAACTGCCATGCCATTGTCGCCGACACTGAAGCTAATCAGATCCTACCAGGACTCTTCAAATCGAATATGAGGGGTATCAACACGCTGGGCTGAATCAGTCTCGAGCACTATACTACCACACACACATTCTATTTCCTGAAGCATCTTACCATGTCAGTTCCGCTCGGTTCGCTTCTGCGTGTTTGGCTTAGAGATTTGCCTCCTTGGAACACCTCCTGGATCAAATTTGACAAAGAAAGACCACCATTCAAGAGAGCCTGTGTTTACCACAATATATCATTCCTGTATAAAGTGTATCTAGTCAATACATTCTATTATGTCTGCGCCTTTGCCTTCGCTTCTCTTCACTTAGTGGTACGTCTTTTCACTTGTGGCCTTTGTATGCACAGCTCCAGATGATTATGATATTCCTACTTTGAGTGGAAGAACGGGGTGCCTCCTTTCAGAGCAGAGCTTGTTAACGGCACCGGTTGTTGATCGTTACTGCACGGATCGACGGTAGATGTTTTAATGATTGAGATTTCTAGGGTTGTGTATGCCTTTCTCAGTTCTTTATATTACGAATTTGATTGATTTCTTTTTTTGCCTATTATGGTATAATATGACAGAAGTGTATTATCATGATAGAGCTCTACGTTATTCTGCTCGAAAAATAGCATGCCCAAACACAAAACCTGGGCGTCATCGCGGCATGCGAGCGCCGGGCGTCACCCGTTGACGCAAGAGCGTCCGGCATCACCGCTTGACGCTCGACGCTATTGGGTCAAAGGCGTTTGACGCTTTACATAGCAAAGGTGGCGAAGGAAGTCCGAGAATCGGCAGGTAAAAAAAGCTTTGTGAAAAAACACACGGGTGCTGACGACGTAAGTTGCATGGACGGGGTTTTCACAAGGCCTGCTCGCTGTAGTCATGGATCACAACTATAATAGTTTGAATTTTTCAACACGCGTGCCCCATTGAAGATGGCAACTTCGTCATGTTCTTTGGATCACGACCATCTCTGTATATGGCATTCATTGGATACAATTCTCGAGCCCTTAATACTCTTAATCTAGGTCGGCTTCTGGTAGCGGACAAATGGCATATCTGGTGCGATTCTAAGGAATACTTTGAAAACGTTTTTATTTTTTTTTTGTGAATTGTGCCGTAGCCTCATTGTTGCGTTTGTTCCAAAACGACAAAATCTCTCCCACCTTTTCTTGAGGCATTTTCACCTTCCATATCGTCCCCTTAGAATATGTTTAGTGCTCTTACTAGACATACTGCTCAGCCCGCATCCTGTTAACCCTCTTAACACAGCTATCATTTCCACTTGGTCCCCCTTCATATGGCCTCAGACCGTCTACACTCTTAATTCAAAGTGTGCGGACGGTCAGCATAGCGGTCACGTTATACAGCTGTTGATGTGACCGAAGTGGGTCGAAAGATAGTAGCACGAAAAACCCAAAACAAAAAACAATTTATCGAAACTCATAAACAGAAAATCTAAGAACGGGTAGATAACGATAAGGTACGCAGCAACATACGGGGGATTAGTAGTTTCCGTCAGCGCCGACATATCTAATCGAAATCACTTACTGGCCGGCAGTTGCGCACTAACAATATAACCAAAACAGAGAGAAGAAGAGCAACAATCGGGGGACGCTCAACGCCCGCCGCGCCTAAGCACCCAAGCGCGCCTATCTTACAATTATTACAAAACAACATTCAAATAAATAAAAGTATGTATATGTGCATTTTACAAGTGCTTAACAGAGAGAGCGGGGGTGAGGCCCCCGCCGATAACAAATGGATAAAACTTATACCGACGTTTAAAACCGGGGCGGTAGCGAAGTGTTCGGAAAGGAAAAGCTCTGACCAAACAATCGTCACGTGGAGACATACGCACTACTCGTGGGAACAAAGACTCAGCTACGATTGATCGACTGCTCATCCTATATGGTCCATTTTCTCACGTTGAGGAGACACACACATACCACGAAAAGCACTTCCTCTTCGACTATTCAGTACGCGACCTTGGTTGTCCTACCACGCACACACAGTCAAAAACACTTAAACACAACTGAATTACAAAAGAGCTAAGAACCAACCAAGAAACTTATAACAAAATGACAAACAACAGGGACATCGGGAAGTCGAATTAGGTAAGGATGAGGGACTCAACAATGTGCAGCCTCACGCACTCCCTAATAAAAGACTACGTGCAAGCCATAACAGCAACAGATATTCCATTTGAGGAAACGATTAGTGTCGAAAGTTTCGTAAAACCAACAGGTGATGATGAAAGAAAAAAGCCAGAGACGTGCACCAGCTGCTGTTTGAACGATGGTACCAAAGGGAGCTACTGCTGATTTCCACCAGCACTGCGTTGGAAACGATACAGATAAAGGCGGTAGTCTTTCGATGCCAGAACAACACTGCTCTCGTCCACCAACGCCACATCAAAGCATTGGGCATGCTTCACTTTGGATTCAAGAGCTCCAATCATAGCGCCATCCTGAACATAGTTCCTCAGTAGAAGCCATGAATTATGAAAGATTGCTGAACATTGGTTGCCTAAACAGCATGCCTACCTGGGAAAACACAGTGAGATTGAAATTGTTGTGATTGTCAGCCACGACGACATCACCCATTGCATTGATGGCCACACCGATAGGATAATTGGTGATCCCTTCGCCCCCAACCTGACGGAGGAACTGTCCTTCGTAGGAGAATACCTACAACAATGCAGTAATAAGTGACAAGATATTTGAAGAAATTTCCCTGTAAAACGCTAACCTTAATGCAGTGAGCACGATTATCGGAAATGAGGATCTCATTCTTATCGTTGGTGCACACTCCATTCGGGAATTCGAGGTAACGAGAACAGCTAAACTTCTGCAGAATGTTTCCGAACATGTCGAAAATGATCACCCGCATCACCTAAAATCACGAGATTCAGAAAACATTGACATTGAAGGTATCACTTGGAATCGTGTTCACAAAATTGAATATTTTGCTAGACGCGAAAGAAAGAAAGTATTCGTACATTGTGCTTACACTAACGCAAGATTGACACACCTTGCACTCCACTACGATTATCCGGCCCTTGGTGTCAACACAAACACCACGGGGATGTTGAAGTATGTTGGCCCCGAATTTTCGTAAAAACTGGCCATACTGGTTGTACACCTGGATCTGGTGCGTCGGAGATCGCTCAGTTACAACGAAATCGCCGGTCATTTTGTTAACCGCTACCCTATAAAACAAAGCTCCATACAATTTGCTATAGTTTAGCTAATCGATTTAATGATTAAAAGCGATTTTATATTTTCAAAACTACCAACAATAAGGAGTTCAAGGAGTGCATATTTCAACAAACCTGTTAGGATACAACAGTTGCCCATCGCGTTTGCCGCATTCACCAAACTGGAACTTGAAACGCCCTTCCTTATCGAACACCTGAGCAGAAAATATCGATCCTTATAGTAAACAATTGAATAGATCTGTTGATGCATACCTGTATACGGTGATTGTTGGTATCAGCAACAACAATGTCGCCTTGGGCATTCACAGCCACACCGGAAGGCTCAGTGAATTGACCCTCCATCACACCGAACTCACCGAACTTACAGTGATAAATCATCTTCTGACGACTTATCTGGGATCGGCTAAAATTACAGGATGATGGTTTTCTCAATGAACAGACCTCAAATTCACATGTACTGGAAGCAGTGCTGTACTGCATGTTAGCTACGTATCTTTCAAAATTCAAAAAGAAATCCGTCACCGTTAAACATGCAAATGAAAAATGAGTAAGAGAGCCTGCCTTGGTGGATATAATGGGCCCATCTTTTCGTCCTCGATGTTTCCTGGCTCAAGCATGCCCAGGCTGGGCTCAACTCCGATTGACCATTTGTCATAATGGTTGTAAACCGGCAGACCACATGTATCCTGAAATGGGTATTAAAGAAAGTCTCAAGCTAAGCTCACGCTTAAAGTGTAGTTATTGGAAGCTGCTATGACTTCAAACAAAAACGCCTGAGCTTGAAAGACGTTTCTAATAGATCAGTTATACTGGAAGTGGTGCAGTTGAATCGAAATTGTCGCCTCGCGGCAAGAGAGACTCCGCGCGACAAGGAATGTAGCAGAATGAGCAGCAATTAAGATAACAGGAACAAAAGAACAAACACTAGAATCATGCCAAAAACAATAATCGCATATCGACTGAGCTGTTTGAAAAATGCTCGAACTGTAATAACGAGATAAATGATAGGCGACTGCCACGCGCGGCGAATCGATTACACAAAACCGATCCAACTGCCCGTCTCCCATCTCTACCGGCTGGATGTTTATAATGCGCAGACAAGCCGAAGCGATCGTTAAATGCTGGCAAAGCGTGGGGCTAAGCGACGATATCAGGGAAGCTATGACAAGATCAAAGAAGAGCAACAGCTTTCTTTTCTTAAGAGCACTAGAAATTGAAGCATAATTTCACTACCTATTTACGATAAAACGTTAATAAACAACGTCTAAAAAAGAAAACTACCCACTAGAGAGGAAGATACGTCGCTGGCGAAATTTCCGAGAGACTGGCTAGAACCACCAAATTCATTTCTCGGACGAAGGAAGTTGTTAGAGTCAGAGAACACGCTTGGCGCAAGGGGAACACTGTGAGCTTGGGGTGGGGAGCGCACGAGCTTAAATTACAAGCAATTAAATTTTTTAGTCACCTTTGGCGATGTAAAACTACAAATTTGAGAACGCATTCAACTTGGATTCTACATACCTGCCTACTCGGAGGTCTTCCTATTGGTGTTGGTGGCATTCCAGTCTGGGAACTAGCTTGACCGTTCCAATCAGCCGCTCCACCACGAACTTGTCCGAATAGACCTTGAATGGCTTGCCGAGCATTGGTGAGGTTCAAAGGAGGTAGTTCCAGCTCACAAGAGGATCCAAGAGCATTTGACGCCTGAAATGCCCAATGTTCTCGAAGTCGACATTAAATGAAAGTAATCCACTTACATCAGGATTAAATGTAAGGAACAGGTGGAGGCGGGTATCAAGAAGCTGTTTGAACACCATAACTTCAGTAGGCGACGCATATTTTACAAGCCTCGTGGTGAAGTCGATCGTCTGACTAAGTTTCTCGGTCATTTGTTGGATACGTTTATCCACCATGGTTAGCTGGATCTGAAACTTGGGATTCACAGCTTCAGTTTTCTTATGAATAAACAAGCAAACTAATATTGAAATTTAAAACATTTTTCCCCATGAATATTAACATTTTTTCATTCTTCCATAACTATCGATGAATCAATCAACCAGTTATTCAAAGCAACACCACGCGCGCTCATGTGACAGGTGCAGAAAACAAGCACAATGGGAACATTCATTCCGTCGAGGTCACCAACGCATGGCGCGCATTATTAATAGGTGAGAGGAGTATTCCTGTGCAAACTCGTACGCCAGAACAACAGCACTTGCAGTTCCTGACTCTTGCAGCCTTCTTGTTATTCGTCATGAAATCTACTCGACTCCTTATCATGACAGAAACGATGTTCTGAAATGAATCAACGAACCATTCCATGCAGATAACTATGAAATCACTTTTTCAAAACTGTTCGGGTATAAACCAGGGTTGCCGGGTGATCACTCACGATTAAAGTCTTGCCATTTTGTTAGAAATCAGAGGTACCACGTCTGCTCCACGCAAAAACGTTATTTTTTAAACTTTTTTTGCAAAATTTTGCTCTTGGCATTCATATTATTCATTCATCATCATTCATATTCTCTTTCTTTAGCGTTTGACCAACTCAGAAGCGAAGTCAGCTTTTCTGGGAAGCTGTTGCCACCTTTCTCGATTGAATGCTTGGCCGGGATGAAGACCAACTAACATCATTCACAACATTCGTAACATTATAGTTTGAAAAAATAGAAAAATAGATAGAAGATACGGAAACGAAGGAATAGATAAATGCCTAGGAAAAGTACTACGTCACCGGCAATTTTGCTGGCAAAATGTAGAAGCTAGTACTAATACAGTAAAAGCGGTCTTGCCACAGATGGCTTCGAGCCGCAATTGTTCTATCTGTTTGAAAATCATGAAAATTTTATTTATCGACTACGGACGTTACCTGTTTGGCAGAAAACGCGGTATCGATTTCCTTGGCTGCAGACTTACGCGCCTCATCAATGATACGCACCAAAGCATTGACGTTTTCATCAAGCTGTGAGTGAGCTCGGCTTAGACTAGCACTTAATCGTTGCTGAGATGCATCCACCTAAATGCTCTCAGTGATGTACACTTGTCACGTATGTGAGAAGGTTTAGCGAAGAAAAAGAGAGGAGACTATGGGAGCAAAAAAAGTTAAAGATAAAGGACCTGTTTGAACATCTCTAGCAGATCCATGTGTTTGTTCCGAGCTTCATTGACCAGCATTTCCATCGTACTCAGTTGCTTGTCAGCAACCTGAAAGTGACAAAATCTAAACACCTCAAAGGACTCCAACTGAAAAAAAATGAAACGGGTGGCGCACTGGCGCAGACTGGCGTAATATTGAAAATAAAGTTGAGAATTAATGGTCTTACCTCAGTGATGGGTTCATACTGATGTGCAGGTTGGGCATGTTCGACCAGGGTGCACTCGCGACAAATCGCCAGGTTACATGTTAAGCAGAAGAAACGCAAGGGCTGCGCACGATGTTGCAGACACTTGCAGGATCGTTCATGTGCAGAAGCAGCATTAGATGGTGGCATCGACGGCTGAAAACATAGTCCGTATACGTAAGTAAGAGAAAATGGGAGCAAATACCCAGTAGCAGCATTTCGATAGGTTTCTTAAATGAGAAGCGAACCTGAACCTGGCAAATCGGTTCCACGCGATGCCCTTCAAAGCAGTGCATGTATTGATGAGCCATCGTACAGTTGGTGCAAAGGTAGTGAGTACACTCTTGACAGTAATGGGATGCACGCTCACCAGACTTACATCCAGTACAAGCTGAGCGGTTGGTTGTGTTAGAGTTCTGAAAACAGATCTCGTTTAAAAGAGGGACAAAAGAAAAAAAACTTGATCACAGAAAGCAGACGCCGTTTCGCAAATAAAAACAACTAAATATTATGCGAAACNAAAAAAACAAATGAAGTAGTACCTGATCACAAGGCGAGTCAGAGAGGGGAGGAGATGATGAAGTAGAACTAGGAGAGCCAAAAAGCAATCCTTTGTCATCAATTATGTTAGGGCGAGATAGAACTGCCTCAAGTCCATAATCGGAGAGGAGGGAGTCAAGGCCGAGTTGTACGCTAAACAATTGAAAATTTTTCGCGATAGTTAAAAGGCTGTAGTGCCAAATTTACTCGACCATAGAACTCGTAAAGAAACGAAGGTTATGCTAAACCGTACCTTAGTTGTGTCTCCATGTGGCACTGTGGGCAAACAATGCGTTCAGCAGAATCAATCTGTCGTTCGAGACAAGCCTTACAGAATGAGTGAAAGCAGGCGAGGACTTTTGGTTCGCGGAACGGCTCCTGGCACAGCGGACACTTCACCACCTGAAACAAGACAAAGCTACGATACACTGAAAATTGAGATATCAAACTAATTTAAAAAAATGAAAGACAAGAAGTAAAATGGGGAAAGAAGATGAACCCTCTCCACCAAATGCACTCGGAAATTTGTAGAAATTCATAAAAGAGCAATCTTCACCATGCACCCAACACTTCTGCTTACGGCCCTGTCAATTTGATCTCTGGCTAGTGAATTAAGCGAACAGAAATAAATCAGAAATCTCACAAAGCTGAGGCCATATGAAAGGGGTAGGCAATCACTAAAACAAGCTCAATCTGGGAACTCAACGTCAAATCCAAATTCCTACGGTAATTCCGAGGACCCTTCCTGAAAGTCCTGACGAAAGCAAGGTGCTTTGGATAACAGCAGACGGTTACTACAATGTTACTTCATATTCGTCCGAATAGGTAGGTACAATGTTGTCGAAGAATCTAAAACAAAGGTAGGGACTGAAATTGGAAATATCTTCTAGGTCTGGCTCGAAAATCGCAATAATCGTCTGCTAATCTCCAACTTTTAAAATAAAACCCCAGCTTTTATTGGGAGGTTAGAGTGCTCAAGGCGGTTAGTGAGTTTTACAAAAGCTATGAATCGGACTGGCAAGGAACAAATAACGCTAGAAAATCCTACTATCGCTGATCATAAAGGAGGCTTGTAGCTGTCCAGGGAAGAGCCGAGGTAACCAAATTCATCCAGGAAAAGGGGGATGAAATGAACAAGCAGAAAAACGCGTAGTTTAGCTATTTCCAGTTACTAAACTGACGAAAATACCGTGATACTCGATCAAAAAAAGCGTAAAACTTCAAAACCTTGTGGAACCCCTTAACATCCATGCTGTGAAATGTCATCATGTTAGCGCGGAATACTGATAGAGTTTAGACTTTATCCTAAAAATTCAAAGGGGACCAGTAGCATAATGATGAAAAATTTGGCTCAGTCATAAAAAGTGGAGGCAAAAAATCCCTGAAATAGTATGAAGGGACGTAATGATGGGACGAGGCCGCTCCTCACCCACTACACTAAACCGCGTCTATTTGTCATTTACGACTACTTCAGAATCGAATATCATGGAAATCGCGCCGCGACCTCCACCGCAGGCACCGCTCGTATGCAGCTGGCCGTACGTGCAAGAATTACCATAAATTTCACGGGATTTTGCGTCTCAGAACATAGATCGGGGAGAAGTTTATGGGGGCAATGGGGAGCAGCGTTCGATGGTTCCGAGCCTACGTGGCGTAGAGCGATAGGATCGCGCACGATGGGCTGCCGATTCGAGGTCCACGAAATGTTTGTCGCGGCCACGCGCCTGGCACCGACGCGAACCGCGGCGAACGCGCGCCCCATCGCGCCCAGTGGCGCGAGGTCAGATCACGGCGGCGGCACACGCCGTTCGCCCCACCCCCGTGATAAATGGATCGATCGACCCGAACTGCAAGATTCAGATCGGGAGATTTCAAACGGGGGCGGGTTTCCAGTTTCAGCAATTTTGTTTTTACTGCGAATTTAAGTGTTCGTGGTCAATGAACTACCGATTTTTCGTAATGGTAAGTGACCAGGCAAAGAGAGCGGGGTGGTACGAGAAAGGCCATTAAAAAAGTACAAAATCGTGGCAGGTCGCCCGAATGACAAATACACACAAAGGAGGCGGGAAGAGACGAGACGGCGACGACACAACACGACACAATACACGACCACTACGAGAGGAAGAGATTGTGCCCACCTGGTCGTTGATGGGCGGAGGGGTGGGTGCCAGCCCGAACGAACCGCCCAACATGGGCTGCGAGACAGCTGAAATAAGTGGACATCATCATTTGTCATGACACACATATCTTTATTAGAAACATCACACTGATCTACAATCGCTCAGAGAGAGAGCACCCTCTAAAACCGACGGCTCGGTGACGAGGACGAGTCGTCGACGACAAATAAACAGATTTCCCCAATCGAGTCACATTGACCGATTGCGTTTAAACGGTTTTACGCCCAACTGTAAGACGGTCGTCATCGCCTGGCCGCCGAACGCCATTTGAAAAAAAAAAGAAAAAGAATCGGAGACACTGCTTCTGCGTCCATGACCTGATGTGGTCCGGTAGACCTACTGTGCCCAAAATTTATAGGTTGTGCATTTGTTGTGAGATCATGGACGTTACAATGGAAAAACCTCACCCACGCTGATCTTGATTTGCCCGCATTATAACATGATTGGGGAAAAAATCAAAGAGCATCCCACTCTCAACTTCTCATTTGAATTGATTTCTCCCAGTCGCCTGGTAAGTGGTGGGAAGTTTTGTAGGACATTTTTTGGAGGTATTTTTCGTCTTTATGGCTCAATTTCTTTCTTTTTCCAAGTTTCTCTTGTCCACATACAAGGAAGTAGGCGGTACTTCGCTTTCAAATTCAAAGCTATAGCTGGAACCACTCAGAGCTGAGCTCAGAGCATAATGTTGGCCTTGTTTGCCAAGTATTCAATGTTTGCACCTCATTAGATCTCCTGACTACCAAATTGATTAGTCGCTAATTGCTTATCGACAATTACACCATTTTGGCCCCATAAGAAAAATCGATATTGATTTTTGTGATTATTCGGGGCCTTTCGACAAAAAGCACGGACCCATGCTTTTGCAAAGTTTCGGATTTGAAGGATTAAAATAATTTGATCTTCACTACCGTAGCTTTGCTCAAGAAATAATGTTCTACATTATATGCAATGGTTTTCCACATACAACAGAAGCTTGAAATGATTCCAAACGAGCAGTCTACTGAGATCCAAGAAATTCACGAAAATACTACCGAGTTGAGTTAAAAATATTTTATAAATTTCTTTTTATCTGAAACCACTTCGAAAAAGAGAAACCCCTATTAAAAATCAGAGTAAGGTCAGAAAAGACCTAATGATCGATCATGATCTACTTCTGAATTTTGATTGCCCACAAGCCATTTCATATCATATAAAATGCGGGGNGGGGTGGTGTAGTAGTAAGTGGCTCACTATCACACAGGTTCGAATCCCAGATCGATATCCGTCTAAGCCCAACACGCCTTCAATTTTTCCGGGATCGGCTGATTGGTACCAGACTCGTCTGGGAGGATAAAAGCTTTGACTTGTACAACGGCTGGCTACCGCAAGTCATTGTATAAGCCAAACACGCATTCAATATGCCACTAGGATTCAGAATGGAAGTCGAGTGCGGGGCGCATTCCCAGATGGAATTGATTAACCCTCAAAGACTTTATCCTTATCGAACCATACGAAAATGAAATTATCATGCTATTCCTTCCCAAATACTCATGGCAAAGGTAGCCTACTATGAAGGGAGAGCTGAATGGCAATCATTTCCCGGATGGCTCTGTCCCACCAAACAAAGAGATTGATGTAATGTAAAATTTAAAACGATTTTACAAAAAAAAAGACAGGTGATTAGCGAAATCCCAAAGCCATATGGCTATTTTGGAAAGCTTCACAGCACAGCATGTCTGCAATCTATCCCCACATACGAGTTTCCCGTAAGAGAGATATCGCAACGATTGGGGTTGCCTATCCCAATGCGCTGCCCATGAGAGATGAGTTATTGCCGTACAAACCGGACCTTTTATTCCTATTGAGTTGAATAACTGGTAGGAGAAGGAATAATGTGACGGGGAAGAAGTCCCATTTCCAACCACCATTGGGAACTGACATGTCACATTTGAATGAAATGCACATTACAGCACGTATTGATTCTATCCCTCCAATTGGTGGAACACACGAATGCACAGCGTATTTCCCCCACTATGGTCAACGACCTTGTCAACCCGGGTTGTTTGGCCCCGAATATACCCACAGCTATGTTTGAATACAAAGGGTCCTCGATAGAAGAACAAAGACAAAGAAGGACGTGAGCCTTTGTCGGCCACCTTGCCTCTACACCTCGATCGGTTAATGTGATTCCTCCCGCACCCGTTTGTTGTGGGTGTCACCCCATATGAGTAAATCTCATTTTTTGCCGGTTTTTTTCTCGAGACAGGAAGCTTCTATAAAGCCTTTATAAAGTCAAAAAAGCCAAAAGTGAAAGGAATAGAAATCTTCCAGAATATTGCTCCTCCCTCGATGAACAATTCAGTTCTCGAGGAAGAACATTTGAGAAATATCCGTAAACAATCTAGTAAACAACTTTTCAATTCTGTTCAAAACAACTGCTCGATATCCTCAACTTTTTTTCGGTCCCCTCGATGTTTTCTGTGGGATCTGATGCGCGAGGGAGAATCAACTGTGATCCGTAAAAATTAGAAAATAAAAAAATTTAAAAATCGACTTCAATGATTGTATAAAAAAATGGTTGACTGCCAAGTGATCCCTTTACTTTCCGTGTTTTTAATCTGCCGATTAACCAAGGGGTGGGACGGCATGCTCCATTTCCGCTTCTAAGGAAAGCCGGGGTAGACCGGAAGAACCTATCCTGTCTCCATATGTTCAAACTATAGTAAAAGCCCAAGTGGACTCAGTTGGACATTTAAAAGCAAATACACAATGAGACACAATGAATGACCAGTTCCTGGACGAGTTTTTCTAAATTGTTCAGTAGTTTTTCTCGATACATCATCGAAAATCTAAAGCTGGAAGCTTTCAGGGCCGCCGACCACAACAAACACCTCAACTCGCCCCTTTCGCTTTTCGCGTTCCCCCCTCAAAAAACCGTTCTCTAGTCTCATGACAAAAAAAGCGTTCTTCGTTTGGTCACGCCCATTTTACGGACTGCCCCTGCCCGACTGCGAACTGGTTCGTATCGCTAAAAAACGATGTTATTGAGCACGCCTGACAGACTTTCTCATGTGTGTGTGAGTGTGTTGAAAGAAGAAAAAATGGGGAAGAAGAAGAAAACAAGAGGAGAGAGAGGCCGTGCACGTGAGAGCCGCCGTAAGCACGTTTTCTATTCGTAGGAATGACGACTGACTGGCGATAGATAGCTTCCCAGTTGGCCCCACGGCGGCGGCGGCGATCAACGATCCAGTTCTATAGCAGATGTGCTGCTGATCCGATGCGATATCCCACATCAGATAGAACAGAGATGGAGTAACTGCTTGGAGTCAACCAACTGGTTGGGAAATGTTTTTCACTCGCACCAGTCACTCCTTCCCCGTCCCCTAAGCGATATTAGCCTCTTTACTGAAGAGGACATTCAGAACAAGAAATGCTTTAGAGGCCTCGTATTCACCCGGCCACCAAGTCTGGTGGGTGCTCTCTCGAAGCCCAATCAGTGATATACTCTATGGGTATGCCTTACCTGAGCCCCACGGCGATGACACGAAGGGCTGCGGAATCGGACGTGCGACTGACGCAAGCAGTTGCGAGAACGCGATCTCATCCGAGCCGCTGCTACTGCCCAGCGACTCCGCCTCACTCATATCGACTTCTCTGTAAAAATACATTTATTATACATGGATGGAACATCCTTACAACAGAAAACCGTAAGAATCAAAAAAGAGCCAGAATTTCAACAGAAGTCGGCAGATAGTTGGCAATAGAAACGGCGCCATTTCGACGAAGCGCTTTGTTCGAGCGAAGGAACGGTTGTTTTGATAAAGGGTGAATCTCGGTGGGAGAGGAAAACAATCGGGGAACATGGACGAATGAGGAGGAAGAGAGTGAGAGCGCAAAGGAGTGAAGAACAGAAGCAGCCATGGGGACCTGACGAATTCGCGCACGTGACGGCTGCTGGTTGCCGGCTCTAGACGCGTGGCGCCCGAACCGGACTAGATTCGCCCATAGATGGAGGCCGATCGCTCAATACCTATGCACACAACACACACATACACATACATGACACCTATGGGCCATGATGGGGACAAAGGAGCCCTCAGTTGAGGGCAATACAGCGTTCATGAGCCTACACACATCGATTGTGGAACGACTGCTGTGCAGAAAGTAAACAACTCCTGACAGAATAACACCAATGCTGGCGGCTGTGGCGAAACAGCGTGCCCACTGAGGAGGTTTGTAAAAAGGCGTCAGATGACGAGGAGGAACAGCAGAGAGTGTTGAGCTGATGATGGTGGGAGAGAAGTGGTACGACCGTGGTGGCCAAGAGAGTGTGGTGAGGCTGGGAGAGCGTGCAGAGTAGCAAATTGCACGTCGCGCCGCCTTCTGAACGATTTCGTACGGGACGTTGAGAGGCAGGGAGAGAAAGAAAGCGTTCGGGGCGGAAGAATGCGAGAAGGACAGAGAGTAGATGGCGAGCGGACCTCGGCGGAGAGCGTTTCGATCGACGGAGAGCGCTCGACGATGGCGTTTCTTCGTCGTCACTGCACTGGGAAGGCGAAGGAGTGCTGCTACGAGCAGGCTAGAGCACGACTACGACCTGGAGCCAAGTGGGAGCGGTCCCTGAGAGTACAACATTAGACCGGAATCCAGGGACCCATGGAATCAGTTGGAAGGGGTAGCATTTTCCTGGATTGAATCGCTGAACCACAACTGCATGCGGGTGCTTACGCTCTGAGGAGCGGTAGCTAGGATACCTGCCAAACGACTGGCTGAATGACGGATGTGAGTGCAGTTTGGGGCAGAAGGGAACAACAAGTCCAGTCTTTTCACCAATACCCAACGAATTCGATTTTCACTGTGGATGTGGTGGTGTATCGAGGCATTTCACACGATCGATCATTTTCTTCGACAAGTCGACTCTTCTACTTGAGTAAGCAGAAAGCGACGAACAGGAACTCGAGACACTCGACAGTAATGACAGCCGGGCGAACGAACGATCACTGGTGGTCGCAAATAGAAATTCGGAACGCTCCTATCTCATCCAGTTCCAACTCCTCACGCCAGGCAGGGGAAACAAATGGGACCGAATGATCAGGCGATTACCACTTGCGGGTGGTTTACCATCGAATAGTCTCGTCTACTTAAATCAAAGAGAACACGGTAAAAAGGCACTGAGAGAAGGTAACTGCCCGAGAGAGCGTGGCGAAATTTTCTATCGATTTCCGCACCGATCGATACTTCCGAGTGGGCTTGAGAGAAATTGCAAAACGCTAGAGATATGAGCATTATTCATATCTGACAGATTACGAGATTGTACTCAAAAATCCCGTAATCATAATGAAAAATAATTATTTGCTGAGGTTCGAAGCCGTATCAGAAGCATAGACACGGGAACTCTCCCGAGTGGGAAGAAAGGGCGAAGTAAGCCCAGGAAACAACTTGGGAAAAGAATGAGGAGCATACCAATAAGTAGAACAGATCACACTCAATCAAAACTATTTTTGGGAAGCGAATGAACTTCCAACGGCGGATAAATGAGGACAGTGAAACTGTCGGTTGCAGTTGCGAACTGTTTGGGTGGGAGAGTGACAAGCGAGGGTGGTGGGGGTGGCCCATGCGACTGACTGGCCAAAAGTGTGTAGCCACGAAATTGTTTTGGCTACATTACACGAATCGGCGTTTAGCATCTCTTTCAACTTCGTCACGAAAAGCCACCACCAACAACAACTGCATGAAGGCCTGCCTGCTTGTTGCTGCTACGGGGCCTCAGCAAACCAGTAACCATAGCGTAACCAGCTCATCTCCATACCAGACTGGTTCGTGTTTACGGGGTTCTTCTGAGATAAGAGAAAGGCAGAACCAATCTCCATGTGGTGGGAACTGGTTCCGACCTTGCTTGAAGTTC